GGAATAAGTGTTAATTCAGTTGAGAGACACATAAGAATTTGTTCTTTCCAGTCTTAAATGCCCCTCAGGTTCTAGAGCAGGGGTGGGCAAAATGCGGCCCATGGGCAACATGTGGCCCACCAGGCCATTCTAGCTAGCCTGCGGGGCTCCTAAAAAATTTAGAAATTGAATATTTATCTGCCCCTGGCTGCCTGTCATGCAGCTCTCGAAGGCTTGCCAAAACTCCATAAGCGGCTCTCCTCCTGAAATAATTGCCCACCCTTGCTCTAGAGCTTGCTAAAGATGGAAGAGCATATCACTACGCCTGCTAGAACCGGGAGACTGGAGACAGAAAATAGTACAGGGATTGCTGCTCTCTAGCCCCAGAAACAGCTAAACAGACAAGAGAGCATTCAGGCTGCCTATAGATGTTTAAAAAAACCAAAACAAAACTGTACTTTACCGGAAGCAGCAGCACGTTAGTTTGACCCAGCTCTGCAGCGTCTGTATAGATTGGATGTTTCAGCAGGGCTTTTTGGTGCTTTTATTTAATAGCTGATACAACCAACTATTAGATGAGAGCCAAAAAAGCCCCACTAAAGCACCCAATTTATACAGACATTGGGTGAGCTGGGTCCAATTAATGCAATGTCTCTTCTGGGCATGGGCTGGGCACAAGAATGCACTGAGTTTAAAGTAAAACACCAGGTTTTTTTGGAGGGTTTTTTTAACATCTGTAAGCAGCCTTGTTGACTGTCTGACCTGCTCTCCCTCCCTACTCCCATGGGAAGGGATGGCAGGAGCAGAGCTCTGTGGGATTCTGGAAGACTGGGCAATCTTCTGTTGTACTGTTACAGCATACAGACATAACTGGAACCATTTTAAAAATGAAACCTTTCCAGTTAGTTGCTGCTTTATGAATGGTTATTTTTGGAGTGCTTCTGCAAATTTGGAAGCACTTCATAGGACATGCATGTCTGTTTGCTTACCCTTTGAAGTGCTTCAAATGTTATCAGGGCCTGATATGCATTGCTCTTGTTTCATTTTCTTGAAAAGTCAAAACCTTGAGATTGGAGAGTGGGAGGTAGTGTAAGGAAGAAATACAATATAGGAGATAATGAGCAAGACAAACTTTCTTATATTTCTTCACAGAACATTTTTAATATTGTATTTTTACCTGGAGGAAGGTCTCTCTTTCTCCTGTCACATATCAAGCTATGCCTGTCTTGAACTGTAGCTGCTCCTAGTGATATATGAAATGACCCTTTCTATATAATTTTGTAAAGTTGGATCTTCTGAATGAAAGGTAGTGAGTTGAATGTAAGATTTTTATTATAACTCTCACAGCTGAGACTGTTCTACTATAATAGAATTTAGTGGTATCTATTACAGTACATTAATATAAACTGGAAATGAAATGAGGTAATATCAACACTGGTCATTTCAAAATGATGGCATTGCATACGAGTCAAATGTCATGACTTTCACATGAAAAGAATTTCAGGGTATTATTTTTTAAAATTTACTTTTACAAGAGAGTTTGTGGTTGTAACATTTTGTAACTCCGTAACAGGATTTACTATTATATTAATATCTTGTTTCAGACTCAGTAGACTTAGCATGTATATGTGTACCTACTTTTGCATTCTTTAAATACGGATGACCTCCACAAGCAGAGAAGATCCAACATATCTTCTAGTGCAAAAGGGGACAGGATATAGAGAGTCCATAGTGTCTTCATGCTGCAAACAGATTTTTGATTGGGGCTTATTGTGTGTAATTGGTGAGGAGCATCTGGAAATGCAGTGAATCCAAGGTATCTGATATATTTCAGTTCACACTGTCATTGTACATTATGCTAGCCATGATGCTGTCCAGATTTATATTGTCTAGTTCAGTCATTCTCAACTAGGGTGATGCAGTATCCTTTTTATGTTGCCACAAGATGCTGTAAAATATTAGCTCTGTTAGGTATGCAAAAACCTACACAGGATTCACAAAAAAGCTCACAGATTTCAAATAGGAATTCATAAAGTAAAAAATATTTTGATCTCTCTTGGCTTTTGGAGTTCTTTGCAACAGAAGAATTGCTCTATTTTTATGTAGTAAATATGGAAATATTTATGATTTAGCATTGTGCATTAGGCAAAAAAGAATTCATTTAATCTATTTTTTCTCATGCTGCATTTTTGGGGCTTTTTCGTGTTCTAACAGCTGAAAATAGGGTTGTGATCTATACTGGAATAATTGCAGCTTGTATTTATCATTGAACATGGTGAGGCTTAAGAGATACTTAACATATTGAAAGTCATAAACTGAATTGGGCATGAGATGAACAGAATTACTACCAAATTATGATAAGGTTGCATTGTTGTGTTCAAGATGGTTCAGGAATTGTATGAGAGGCCAGGGTTTTTTGTGATATCTTTTATTGAACCAACTGTACAATTGGTAGAGAGATATTTGACAAGCTTCCAAGTACAGCACATCCTTCCCTGGATCTGGGCATAAACATGTTTTGTACAGTGTTTACCTGGTTTTTTCAATTAGAAAGAAATGAGTCTTTTTACTGGCCCTTAAAACTTATATATCCAAATAATATATCAAGTACATTTTAAAAGCATAATTACACGGAAGAATACAAGGGACATTTTGTTAATATTGATCTGTTATGGAGTGCAGTATAGGTTACTGCAAAAATATAAAGCAATGAAAGGGACTTTTTTGGCATATAATAGAAAAGTAGTTTTTCTTTTAAAAAGGATGAGTAGACTGTTGAGTGTAAAATTGACCAGACTATGATTACGCTTCTTGCTAAAGAGCAGAAAAAAAATACTTCTTTTTTATGCTGAGTAAGTTTCTCCCCTGCAGATGCATGTGATTTTTATGTCCAAAACCTTCTAGAGAAAGCCTCAATAATACTAAGAATCCTGCTTATGATGAGAGAGAGTATGCAGCCATTTTTTTCTTCTTTATGACTATGTTTTCTAACTCGAAGAGTAGATAGTTGTTCTCCACATGTGATGCCAACTGCATTCTCTGGGCAGATGCTCAGAACTCTCATATGTTTCCACCTCAGTCTTGGTCATCTTCTCAGCCTACTTCCAGAGATGTGGGTTTTGCAGAAAATTTTGAATTGGAAAATTTTCCAGAAATTTTTCCAATGCCCTAAATAGAGTGTGATCTGATTTAGCATGTTTATTTGGCTTTTAGTAAACAAAACTAAAAAAGTACCCCATGTTAATTTGTTGTCCCAATAGCCACAAGTATTTGAACTGAAATATTTGATTAGGAAAACAATTAAATACAGCACATGTAATGTGGTTTAAATGTTATATTCAAACAAATTCAAACCTGTATGTAGGAAGAAATTATTTTTATTGGAACACTTGTAAAAATGTAAAGACAATACACTATAATAGCTTGTGCTTCCCTTACATTGTTTGTTTAAATTTAAGAAAAAAACCGAAGGCATTGAAAACTGTTGACATTAATTTTAGCACACCCAAACAACTGCAGGATATGCCGTGGTTGTCCACTCATCTACTTCAACAGAATTTAACTCTCTTCCACTGAGGTCACTGCAGCACCTCCAGTGTCACTGTCACTATCTGTAGAATCCCTTGCACTACTTATTAGTTCCATTTCAGAATCATATTGAGGCAAATCAATATTGAACCACGTTCTCTTTCACTAAAGGATGGTTTTACCACTGAGTCAATGGGCAAGGGCAACTTATCATCACACTGCATCTTCTTCGTTAATTGTGCTTCTGACTGATTCTCCAGAAGCAAGAGATTTTGAGAAACAGAAACAGCTTAGCAGTGTGTTAATTTGTTAGTCTATTCCTCCTTTTTGTCTTGATTGAGCTGAAAGCCTTCCAGTGCCGTTTACAAGAAGCTGCTGTTGGTGGAGTGCTTAGGATCCTTAGAGCAATCCTGGACAACAGTCAGGTGTTACAATATCCCTTCCACCATGTGAGGGGAAACATATTCTCTGCTGTCTGCCAAGCTTGCCTAATATTGCATTGGCATCCATTCATTGTTACTAATAAATTCTATGAAACAATGAATGTTTAGAAGTGGAAAATTTTCCACAGAAGAATAAAGCACTGGGAAATTTTCTGCCCCACATCTCTGCCTACTCCCAGTTTGTGTCATCTTTTAGTTCTTTGCTCCCTTTGCTTTGACAACTCATTTATTTTGCTGCAGCAGTGGACTTCATTGTATCCTTTGCCCATTTTCATGCCAGTCAGGAGTTTACTCTTTACTGTTCTCTCCAAGGAACATTCTAGCCTTATTTGTGCACAAGATAAGGTTCAGGTGCCCTTCCTGATGCCAACCACAGTTAATGTCAGTGGGCCTGTACTTTGATTACCCAATACCCACTTAAAAGGCAGTGGAGATTTGTAACACTATCTGTGGTGGCTGGCTATTTTCAGGAATCTTCCTAGGCATGTCCATCTTATATAACACTCAGTGTACCATAGTGAGCAGTCCCATACTTCTGGCTGTTCACCCATTCACCACGATGAAGTGCAGGTTGGCTTTAGAAAAGCAGATTGAATGCTATTTTTATGGGGGAAATAACTTTGTCATTATTAAAGAAATGGCTGTTTTTGATATATATTTTTTTTAGTTTTCAGCCGCAAGCAAAGATGTGCTAAAACCAAATTTTTGCAAAAGAATTATGAACATAATCTGATTCCTAACCAGATCCTGAGAGAGCCTTAACACCCTTTCCTTCTAGATCAAGTCTTTTCAGTGTGCTAGCATATTCTGGAACATCTGGTCTGCCTTTAACGGTGTTAATAATAGTTCAGCTGCAAACCTGTGATTACAGTTAATTTGAGAGTGATATAGCTGGTAATATAGATTTCTGTGATTCTGGGGTTCAGACTTATCAGTTAGCATGTTATTCTGATAAATGTTAGTGCCTAATCCACTTCCTTTCTTACCACAACTCTAGGTTTACAAATGGTTATGATTCACCTAACATTGACCTTTTTTACATATTTCTAGGATGTGTGCTGTTTTTGGTGGAACCTATTGTCTTCGCCATTCTATACAGTGCCTTGTAGTGGACAAAGAATCTGGACGGTAAGGGTAATATAAGTAACCTGTTTATATACAAAACACAGATGAAAAATGCTAAAGTCGATTTTAAAAAAATGATTCTTCAAAGATCCTCCTTGGTATTAATAACACATCAACCTTGATTAAAAGTAATTTGTGTATAGGTCCTCCAGAACAAGGAAAGTGGGTCTAGAATATAGAAACTAAATTAATTTCCCTGTGATATTACTACAGCTCCTGATCACCCAAGCTTGGAAGACAAATCATTTCAGCTGCCGGGGGGCTGGTGATGAGTGATGTTAGTTTTCCTTGTGGCCTTACCTACTCTAATTGATTTTCATCAGATGACAACAAAGCCCTCTGTTATTGCATTTTTAAAAATGGAGCTCACCTAAAGACTCATCAGATTAATCTTTGCTGATAATGCATGTCACTCCAAGAGAAAAGACTTTAATGAGTTTTTAGGTAGATTGTTGTCATAAACTATGCTGCCCTCTTATCCTAGGATAAATTCTTCTATAACAGTATCAGGCCTTCAGGCAGGTTTAAAGTTTAGTGAAGAAAAATCTGCCACATTTTTTCCATGGTAGCATTGTTTACTCTTCTATAGATTATCATACATGTTCCATATATACATCTTTCTGAGGGATTTATAACAGTTATAAAAACATGCTGTAGGTTGGAACTGGATGTTTGAAATGTTGTTCTGAAAGTTAACTTGTATTTAAAACACAGCAAAAGTTAGAAATCACACTTGGATTGCTTTTATGTTATTCTTACTAAGCATGCATAGTTAAAGCAATACTTTAAACCTTCATACTTGATATTTGATTCAGTGGGACTATTGCTTCACTCAGCAACTTGCAAACTTTAGTTTGTCAGCCACAGGTAGTTCATATTTCCAGCTGCTTCTATATGTCTTCAGTATTTTTGAAGTAAATACACCTTCATTAAATTGTTCATTCTTTGAAAAACGTTTGAGAACTTTTTTCCCTGTATTCCATTTTTCGGGTAACCCTGGTTATCTTTTAATAGTTTTCTAGATTTTGGGGCATTCAGGATAGTTCTACTTCCAAACCAGTTGTTCAGTCATTTTTATAAATTCTCCCAGTCTCTCTCTCATTCACTTAGACTGCTTACAGATGTGGAAAAAAAGAAAAAAACCCAACACTGCTTTAAGCTCAGCGTGTCCCTGCACTGAGGGCAGTGTGCCCAGAAGGCGCATCATGTAAATTTGAACCGGTTCACCCAACATCTATATAGATTGTGTGCTTCAGTGGGGCTTTTTGATACTTTTACCTAATAGCTAGTTGGATCAGCTGTTAGATAAAAGCACCAAAAAGCCCTGCTGAGGCATCCAGTTTATACAGATGCTGGGGAGCTGGGTTGAACTAACATGCTTCCTCTTCTGGTTTTGGGGGGGGGGGGGGGGGGGGGTCACATCTGTCAGCAACCTTATTGTCAGATCCAAATTGTTCTAGGTGCCTAAGCATGATTTAAGTAGGATTTAGGTACCTAAATTACAAGGAAGCAATTTAGAATTACCCAGCTCCGGAGGCTGTAAAATAAAATAATTTAGACACAGTAATCCATTAGTCACTTCTGTTTGGGCTGAAAAGATCCATAGGCACATAAGGATCCAGACACAGATTTCCATCTCTCAGAGGAGTGCCTTCATCATTTGACTGTGGAACTGTGCTTCCTCTGGCTTGCTCTTCCAGCCCGTTTCTTTTGGCTATCTAGTGAGGCAAATTCAAGAGGTATGGAGGGTGTTTCTAACCCATATTATTTTTTAGCTTGGTGGGGATTTCATGAGAAGTAGAAGATGTGGGTTTGTGTTCCTTCAGGCCATGCATGACCTATAACGTGGGTCTCCCACTTCCTAGGTAAGTGCTGTAACCACTATGCTGATAAGCAAAAGGTGGGAAACAACACCATTATTCCTAGTAAAAAGTGTTCCTAGGAAAATGTGCCCGTGGGTGCTATGTACTGAACTCAGTGTCTGCTAGTTATCAGTTATCCCTCTGCGGGCACTCTAGATACCAAGACTGTGGAGGCACCAACTGTGCATCCCTGAATCAGGTGCTAAACTCTGAGGAGGGGTGGAGGTCATACATGTCTGTGTGCCTATCATTTCCTGTGGATCACCTTTTGGGGGTTCTGTGCCTTATTCTCTCTATTGATTATACGGATCTTATACCTACTTCTACCCATTTGGATCAGTATCCTAGATCAAACCACCTATTTTTAGCTGTGCTAAAGCCAAAATATTGAGTGTGTTTTGAACCTGGCTGTTGGTTGGTCTTTTTGGGACTTTATTCTCATATAGTGTTTTCATCTGATGGACTTTTCTTTCTTTCCAGTGTGGTCAAATAAACTTACCAGAATGTGTTCACAATTGATGCAGTTTTTGCCTACCTTTGCCATTTTATTGCTCTTATTTGTCTGTCTTGCCTTTCTCTCTGTTATTTCTTGTATGCCATCTCTGCATTTGAAGACTATTTCAAACTTCTAGATTCTTGAGATTGAGATTGCTGCTGTTTGCCTGTTAGCTATGTTCTAAATGAATACTGTGCCTTGGATCTAATCATTTCAACAGAGTTTGATCATTATTCTGAGATTAGCCTGATTGTCTAGCCCCCTAATGCTAATTAAATCATCTACCCCTATTTTCACTAAGAACTGCAGGCAAGATTTATGCACCTGGGCCTAAATACTTTAAAAATCTGGTTTATGTCTTTACATGGACGTCCTGACTGCTTCAGATATTTTGATCCAGCCAGTGATGTGCAGGTTTAAAACCCCTGCCCTTGCACTTATAAGAATTAGGCTTTTATTATTATCCCCAAAATGTTTACCTCACAATAGATTTCTAATGACTTTCTCGTAAAATTAATGTTAAACATTGCAGCTTTCCCAAGGGGGCTTTCGGTCTTCTCCATGGAATGCCTCAGGGCCATGCACTAGTTTCTCCCTTGCTCCCAATATGCTTCTGATGCTACTTATAAGGTCTTCATCATAATTTTCAAAGCAATTAGTTGACCAAAGCCTTGACTGTATTACAAAAAAAATTGCATTATGTGAACTCTGGCATTTAATAATATGGCAACAATTGTACTGCTCTTGGACGGTGCATATGACAAAACCTAGTTCAAAGCACATGAAAGACCAGGACAAAGCATTCTCAACTGAAAGGTTCCAGCTATGGAACAAGCTTAGCTAGATGAGAGATGATTAGATGAATCCAGAATCTGGTTGTCTAAAGCAGTGATCATCAGCCTTTTTTGGCTTGAGGCACAGGCCTTAGTAGACTCAAAGCACCCCTTAGAAATTGCTAGATCTTACTGTTTACTTGTTTTATTAACTACAGAAAAATAATAGAGCAATCCTTCTGTTGCAAAGAACTTAAAGGCTACAACATGACAAAATGTTTTAACACTCTGAATTCCTATTTGAAATGTCAGTTTATCTTGTGCATATGTTGAAATTATCTCATGGCACCCTGATTGAGAATCACTGATCTAAATGAAATGCTGAAAACCTTTGTTTTAAGTACAACTTTTCCATCACAGCAAATGATGTGATGTTAGATGTCCATAATCTACTCAAGAATGTTCCCTTTTACCTGTTGGGCTCTCACACTGGAAATTTTTTGTTACGCTGACCCGAGTCGGTTTGGGTGGAAACAAACATCACCTTACCTAAAAATGTTAAAGCAAATAGATATCCTACGTTTTGTCACACCACAAGTTCCCAAATTAGTGGCCGTGACAGAAGTTAGTAATAATCTGTTCTGTTTTATTGTGGCAGACATCTATTTGCTTTTTGCTGCAGGCAACTCAGAGTTTCATGTGCTCTCCAGTCACCCCAGGCAGGGATGCAGGGACTTGATTAATAGCAAGTTATCTGGAAAAAAAACTAAATACCTATGAACTAGAAGGATGCAGTGGTAAGGAGGTTATGCTGATATATAATATATGTGGTAGGTTTAGTCTAATATCATGGTGTCTGTCTACATTATATGCATGAAACAGTAGAATAGCTTTCTTTAGATTAATTATGTTAATAAAGCCCTTTCCAGGTACTTTAGGTGTACAAACTATAATAATATTCAGAGAAAGAGTTTTAGAAGACTGGAATCTTTTAAACACAGTTGTTCCAGGTTTTGAATAATAAAAGTTTTTTCCTTTAAATGTGTGCATCTTTGTGCACACATTCAAGCAATATAACTTTTAACTAAACAACTCAAGGAAATAAAAAGCGGGACAAGTTCAGAAAGCTTACAAGCAACCTCATGTAAATAATCAGTTAAAAAAAGTTTGTTAAAAGATGCTGTGTTGCTAGAGAGTATAATTTTGATCTAACTCAAATGCTCTGAGTGTTAGCAAACTAAACATGCATTATGCTGTTTGCCCTAAAGGAAATGCATATTTAATTTCTTTACTGTTATCCTTTTTTTTAGTCTTTGCTTTTATTTCCTGTATGTTTAGTAGAAATTGCTTATTTAGCTTCATTAGGATGATTTAAAGGATTTTAATTTACATAATTATATTTCAAATGTGGTTGCATTAAAAATAACATTTTTATGTTCAGCATACCTTTAAATGTGGTTCCAATTAAATAATTCTGTCCAAAAACTGAAAAGATGTGACAAATGTAAATTTATATTTCTATAATAAAAATATATAGCAAACACTGTAATTTACATATCTTTCCTGAAATATTGCATACTGGCTTTTTCAGTGCTGGTAAGTCCATTTCAAGGATGTCGCCCTTAGTCCATTAGTTTGGATAATGAGCCCTATAAAGTACATTTATAACTCGTGGCACTGCAAGGAGATGGATTCTAATTTTCATCCTTTTATCTAGACACATTGAAAGAAGGTCAATGGAGGGTTCTGTATGATTCATTGTCCCAACACATATCAGATGACAGAGACCTGATAATGTCAGTGCATAAGTGTTTTCCTTATTTGGAGGCAGTACTTGAAAGAAATCTTCTCATGATCTTCCTTTGAAGTAAAGTGGAAACTGATATTAAAAGCACTATCTTTTTTTTCTTCTTTTAAAAACCTTATCAAACATATGACCTGATAGATATTTCTGAACAAAGGAGAGAAAACAACACTTAGCAGGAAAATAAAAAGCCTATGGTTGCTTTTGCTGGCTTTGAGTGATACAACATGACATTTAATCAACCTTTCTCCTTCCAGAATGTTCAGGGAAAAAAACCCTTCTTTCATAAACAATAGAAAAGGTTATAATTAGATATGAACTGTGCCAGCTTGACTTGCTAGTTTATTAGCCATATTAAATGAGTGCTTTAGAGTCAAATTAGTGCAGCTCCCCAAAAACCCCTTAAAAATAGCAAGTGAAATGCATATTGAAAAAACTATAATTTATAATGTATGTAAGTGGTATTTCAAAGTTTATGACATGAGATATTTAATTTACTTTTCACCATGGTGCTTGAATGTTGCTACTAACAGTTAAATGGGTAATATGCAAGTAATACATTGATTGTTATTGTGAAATTATTATTGTAAAATCAGACAAGTCTTCTGTACTATTATCCTTAACTTTCTGTTAAGGTTTTTTTAAACTCTTCTTTACCTGTATTTCTTGACTTCCTTTTGTATTAGAACACAGATTTTTCCATAGAAAGTTGGGGTGAAATCCTGACCTCACATAAGTCCCTAAGAGTACTCCAATTTGATGTGAATAAGATGCATTTCAACATGATCTGGAGGGGAGGGGAGGAAAGGGCATTTAAATACCTTAATTCACAAATGCTGACTAGTAACTAAATGTATAAAAAACCTTATTGATGTAGGAATATCTCCTAAACGTAAATTTTAGAATAAAATGTTATTGGAGGGTGAGGAAAAATCCTATGAAAGCATTATCATAAGAAACTAGGAAATTACTCTCTTGGGCATTTGGTTCTTTCTAAAGTTCCGTTTAAAGTATACATGTATCATGAAGCACAGTTTTACTTCCACTGTATTTTTAGAAACTGATTTAAGCATATTTCACTCTGAAGAGTGGGAGATGTTTTGTAAATTAGACAAAAAGTAAATAAGATTTAACATTTATATGCAGAAAATGATCTGACATTATATAAAGCTATGAAAGCCTTACTGAGAATCCAGGGTTAAGACTTAAAAATCCTTGTAATATGAAAACAAGGCAAGAAGATAGAACATATATCCTATATGTAATTAGGCTAATGAAAGCAATCATTGAGAAGGGTGACATCTGAAACTAGTCTTATTTAGTGTGTTCAACTTCTGCTTACAAAAAACAACCATATGTGAATTCAAAGCATATTGGCTGGTCAGCAGTGGCAAGTTTTAGTTAATGGGAAATGTTTCATTTGTTTTTTATAAGTTGAATTATTCTTAAATTTCTGCTTAAATTGGTAATATACTAAAAGATCTGAATTTCAAAATAAATTTACCATCGCTTAACATTTTTGCACTTACAATCTTATTGTCCTGTATTTCAGATTTTTGTTCTACTTTTAAGCTTCAGTGCATACAGAAATATAGTTCTATGGCATTGCGTTTTGACAACAGCTGTTATAAGGATGTACTGTAGGTAGCCTCAAATATTTCTATACAATATCATTGCAAAAAGGCTTTTCTTTTTACAAATAACAGCTTTGTTTTTTTACCGCATAAATAAAAAATAACTGGTTACCTTGAGGTCTGATATTGAAAACTAAGAAACATCATAGGGGAGAGAGTGCTTTGTAGTGCTATAGGTAAAGCTTATTTCTTGGAGGATGAATGGGTGTCCCTTAGAAGGGACCCCAGATTTCAGTTATAAATAGATATTTTATGTGTATTGTAGTGGCATGTACAAGCTATAAGCAAGACCAGAGCTGTTTATTCTAGGCTCTGGATCTGTTTTGTATTAAGAAAATATGAATGTTGGAAAATTTCATTACTTCTATATTCTGGGCTTGGGGAAAATTTTAGCATTAGATTTTTAAATGTTTGCCTGAAGTGAACTTAAGATACTAAAATGAAATATATTTTAACAGTCTTAAAGACAAATCATATTTGTCAGAAACATTTGCATTGTTCTTTGAACAACATGGCCTATTGTGTTTTTTTGTTGAACTAGAGAGAGAGAGAGAGAGAGAGAGATGTTATGCATAGTCACAAGTGTTTTGTAGAAGTAGATACTAACACTAGAAAAGATCACTTGGATAACTGTCCATCCTGTATATTTGCCAGGCTTACTCCCTTCATTGTTCAAACTAACTAATTTTCTAACTTGTCAAACTTAATTATTACAGTAAACTTACCCATTTTTTGTAAAGGCATGCCAGTTATAGAAATGCCAAAGTGATAGGGTCATGTATAGAAAATCATCAGTTTTTCATTTATCACTAGGCAAGTAACTTGTCGAATTGCAATAAAAAAGTGATGTTATCATTGTGGATGGAATACATTGTTTTATTTGTGGAGTGATTGACTAATGCAATTATGGCATAAATTAGAATAAACAATACCATGTATTTCATAACGTAGCTATCTAAATAGGTTTCTATACGATCTTGTTATATGTAGTCGGGTTTTTTTTATAAGGCGTCATTTCTACCTGCTTACAAGTAAAACATGCAGCATTTATTGCCAGTTATTGGAAGTGGAATTGAATCTCCAAATATTGTTCAACTTCAAAAACATAAAAGATTTATTTTGTGATATCATTTATCTAAGCAGTCTTTACTTATTGTGCTTCCTTTTTTAACAGATGTAAAGCAATTATAGATCATTTTGGGCAAAGAATAAGTGCCAACTATTTTGTTGTGGAAGATAGTTACCTTTCAGAAGAAACATGCACAAATGTATGTTACAGGTAAATAGTAAAGAAGACACATAGTAAGTGCATTGTTTTGCTTTTTCTCCCAGACAAAATCCAAATACATAGTGCAACCTTGCAAACTTCACAACAGACCCAGAGGGCAACATTGTTATATGAATACATCCTAATTCTGTGTATTTCTGCAGTGTCATTTCCCCAACTTTCTTCCTCCTCTTTCTGCATGTCGGGGGACTGAACTGCTATACTAACTATATTTAAGTTTGCTAACATTTCCTTTTAAATTTATGTTGACTTTTTTCTTGGAGAACTCTAACACTTGCAGCAAAAAATGGAATTATGGAGATGTCTGTCATGCTCCCCATGTAAGCATGCTCAAGTTTGGAGGAGTGTTGAAACCCCTTATATTATCTCTTTGTTTTGCTGAGCAGAGCTTGTTCCTGGTTTCCTGTCAAAGCATCAACATGCCATCAGCACTATGTATGCACTACCTTTGCAGTACATTTCAAATGGCACAGAGGCAAAATAATAGTAGCAAGTGCAGCACAGAGTTAACATTGTTAGAAAAGGATTTGAGATTTGAATTCATAATATCCCAGCTCAGCTCACTTTTCCTTGCAAACAATCGTTGCTACACTGTTTTGAATGTAAAAAGTACAATAAAAATGTGAGGTGCTAGATCTGATCAAAAAATACAAGTTCTGTTTTGTGGACAGTGCTAGTATTTCAGCATTATTTGCTTTTAAGACAAAACAATTGAGACTCAAGGTCATAATCTCTGCATCTGCCTTAGCCACCATGATACCTCATAGAGAACTGTATTCCACCTTCCTTGATAAACTGCATTTCTTATGCAAAGCGGTCTATTCCTGTGGCCAAAATACCCTTCTAAATTGCTTTTATTTGATTTCCTCATGGGAAATTCTGCCAAAATTTTCCTATGCTGAACTACAGGTTTCCAAATGAGAAACCAAATATTTTCATCCAGCCTTGGCTACGTGGGGAAGTTAGGCTATATTTGGAATCCAATCTTTTGAGGCACCCCAGATTATCAGAGACTTTTTGAAAATGTTTGCCTTGTTATCCCTATTCCTCCCTGTTCCTGTTTTCTACAATAGACAGTTATGGTTCCTCCTGTTGAAGTTTTTCTGGCTTGGGTCACATCTTTATGGGACTCAAGCAGCCAATGGAAGACTTCTACTTGTAGTGGCTAGTGATTTTGTTACCATTTTCTATCTAGAATATTATGAGAACCACTTCCTGATGCTCAAAGTATTCTCTAAGGATAGTATTATTCTTGTACCAGTTTTGCTTTATTCTCTTCGTGGCTTTTGTTGTCTTTCTTGTTACTAAACAGGGTGACAAGGAGCAAAGGAGTCAGGGGAGTCCCACAAATGCTGCAAAGAATGCATTAAGTTGCAATGACTTATACAGTCTTCTAGTTTATATATTATTTATCAAAGCCATGTAGCTCTTTATGGTAATTCATTATATGTTTGTAAAATTAACAGTGTGTCTATTACTCAAGATTCTTTCCTGTTGACTACATATTTAATATGTTGGTGATATAGGCAATTATTCATAAAAAATAGATTTCTAATTATTTTGTAATCTGAAAACATTATAACAATTTTAGAGGAAAAGACCCTGCATCTGGAACTTTTACTCAGACAAATACTTTTATTTTGGTCATTGAAAGTACTGCAGTAGTAAACATTTATAGAAGTGGGACTATATCAGGGACATGCAAAACATGTAATTAATTAATAATGTAGAGTCATGAGCACATGTAAATCATTTTCCATATTAGTAAAATTGTAATTAAATTATGATTGCCACAAGGCCTGAATCCAAGCAGTTACTTTTTTTCTGTTTTGTGAAGTACCTTAATTGCTTTATTTATTTGTAGGCAGATTTCCAGAGCAGTGCTCATTACAGATCAATCGGTTCTAAAGACACAGTCAGACCAGCAGGTAAATATCAAGTCTGTATTTAGTTATCTCTTTAAAGAGCTGTATGTAACCACAATTAACTATTTCAGTTCATTAAGAATTAACTTTTATATTTGTTTCTACTTGAATTAAGTTTTCTAGTTAGCTACTTCTTTTGATCAATTTCTGAATTAGCTTCTCCCCTTTGATAGTCAATTAAAATCAGTCAAAATGAAAAATAAGCTAGTGATTGGAGCTGATTTTGTGTGTGTGCGTGTGCTGTGTGTTGATGTTCACTAATTGATACCTTTGTTAACAGTCTTATGGCCAAAGACTGAATTTCCGTAGGGACTAAACAATCCTCCTCTCTGTATTAAAGATCCCTTTAGAACAGAGGTGTCATTCATTTAGCCCTGTGAGCCACAATGGGAACATGGGGCTCTTTGTGGGCCAGACCCAGACTGTGGAGCTTCTGGCCATGGCCACTGTTGCATTAGCAGCCAAGGAGGTAACTTCACCACCCCTTAACCTCCCATGCCATGGCTGCTGAAGCCACATTGTCAGCCTGGCCAACAACCAGGAGATAATTGCTAATAATTTTAGTTACCAGTTGCCACTAAAAACACTAAATTATGTGATGATATTCACCCCCTGGGTAAGCATGAGGCATACTCTATATCCTCTATCTGGCCCGTGGGGCCCCTCCGAAAAGCAGTTATTACCAGCCCGTGAGAGCCAGCAAAAGGTGTGGGCTTTCAGAGATTGTGTGCCATCCAACCGGGCAGGCTCTGTATCCCCACCTCCATGGGGCTCTGAGCACTCCAGTTAGGAGCCCTGTGAGGGGACACCAAGTGCAGTGGCTTGCAACTGGACAGCTGGTGAGAGTATAGAGGAGCTCCTGCCTGCAGGAGGGGAAGGTGAGTGTGGGTCCCCCTGCCACATGCCCCTTCCCCAAGGGGACATAGCCCCTGCTATCAGCAGCAGCAGGCAGTTGGCCCTTGAGGTGATGTGTGGCCCGCGGAAGGCAGAGACCCCTGGTGATGCATGGCTCCAGCTGAGTCTCAGGATGTGTACATGGTGGCATGAAGCTAGCCTGGCCTGGCCCGCTAGCACACACCTTCAAACCAAACCAGGCTTGCTTCATGCCAGCACGTGGAGCTGTGCACCATCAGACCAGGCTGAACCAACTCCATGCCTCCACATGGGACTTCCAGCACTCCAGTGAAGTCTGCCCGGCCTGAAAGTGTGTGGATTGGGAACCACAGGAAGTTGCATGCAATTGGGCCAAGCTGGCTCTGTGCCTCCACATGTGGCTCCCCACTGGAGTGCTGGAAGCCCCATCTGGAGGCATCAAGCCAGCCTAGCCTGGCCCGATAGCATGCGGCTCCTGCTTGCAGTGCCAGGAGCCCCATGGCCTGGCATGGAGCCAGCCCAGTTTGGCCTGAAAGTGTGCACCAGTGGGCCAGGTCAGGCTAATTCCATGCCGTCATATGAAGCTTCTGGGACTCAGCTGGATCTGTGCGTCACCAGGGGTCTCTGCTAGCTGTGGGCCATGAGTGGGCCGAGGGCCTGCCACCTGCTGCTGCCACCAGCAGTAGGGGCTGTGCTCCGTGGGGACAATGTGTGTGTGTGTGTGGGGGGGGGTCCTGCACCCACCTGTACACACCGTCCACAAACTCCACACCCGCCCACCCACACTCCCATGCCCACACTCCCTCCACAGATCCCCCACAAACCTCACATCCACCCTCTCATTCCACAAACCCCACATGCACACACAAATCCAACACACACCTCACACCCACCCCTCAACCATGCCCTACACCCTTCACACACAATATACAAAAGTAAGACTTTATTTTGAACTATTATGCAATATACACTATACACTATGCAAATGCACTTAAATCAGGACAAAAATATTTTTTGAAAGAAAATTAAAATATGTTATAGTAGATGTTTGTTTTTATATATATCATTTGGGGTTTTTGTTTTCTGGTTTGAAGATGGCAACCCCCTTCCCCCCTCCAAAGGAGTGCTTCCGGGGGCAAGGGGAGGGACTTCAGGTAGCAAAGGTCGGGGTTAGGGGGTGGGACTTCTGGTTCCAAGATGAAGATAAGGAGTTGGGGCATCTGTGAAGGGGCGGAGATACCCTTGTGGCCCTCAACAGCTCACCAAAAGTCATTAAGCCACCCTCCAGCCGAAATACTTGCCTACCCCTGACCTTCGTTCTTCCCAACCAGTGGTTTTGCAGCCAGCAGCCACCAACCAGGTATCAACTCCACCACCCATTTGGCTCTCCAGTCCTTCCTGTTCTCAACACCTTTCTGTCCAGAACCAAAAAACTACTTAGCAATCTCTTGCCACATCACAGGTATAATTTCAAAAGAAGTGTATTCTTTGTATCAGGTTGGGGAAAAATGGTATTTCAAGGTAGAAAAAGTTTAAGAGCCATTGTTCTAAAAACAGTTATATTTAGCCTGGATGGTTAAATCTGATGTCATGACATTGCAGATCTTACTAACCATTGACTTCTCACATGAGTAAAGTCTTCAGGATAGGTCCCATAGATATGTTTCTAAAAATAGTTTCATTAGTAAATTGGAAAATAAACCTATGTGGCAGTAATATTTACTGTCTACAATTACTTTTTACCTGAACTCGAGTTGTCTTGATATTGCAGATTGTCTCTTCCTTCTTGTTACTCTACTTTAACACAGACTTATTTATGAATCTTTAAAGCAGCTCATAAAAATAAATAAATCTGTTGTGTATATGTATGGGAATTGACAATAACTGGTTCTCAGGAGTTTTAGTTTATTTGGCAAATACATATTTATGGGTTTGATAGACTGAATATTTATTCTGTAGTCTGTAACAGCTCTTTTTATGGCCATGTACCTACTCGGGTCTGAATTTCTTAGAAATTATTTGTGGAACTCAAATTAAACCGTTTTATTTTCTCTGATCCCAAGATATTTTGAAATTTGATAGCCCATAACAGCATTAATTTTGACTATTTTGCAAGTGCATATTGAGATAATGTTATGTAGGCAAGACTCCACTGTGTAGGCATTAAAGCAATACTTGCAATATTTGTTTAAAATAGTATGTGTTTTTTTGGTGCTTGAAGATCAAGGCACTTTTAGGTAATATTTAATAATTTATTTTCAGTGTGATGATAAATTATACCAATTTAAATGCAAAATGATGAAAAACAAATCATGTTGCTTCTTAGTCTAGATTTATATTCAGAATTTTCTGTTCTTCTCCTTCTGTTTGGTAGATTTCTGTTTTAACTGTGCCACCAGTGGAACCTGGGCAGCCAGTAGTTTGTGTCATTGAGTTGTGTTCTTCAACCATGACGTGCATGAAAGGCACCTGTAAGTAGAGAGTTATATGTATTGTGATGGTCTTTTTTCCATTGCTGGCATCAGCTGTGAAAACAAATTGTTAAAGTATCATTTTGAGCTGTTCTTCAGTTACACAATTATAACATTCCTGCCTGACCAAATCCATCTATATTAGCTTGTCTCTGTCAATGGGTGAGAGAAATGGTGCTGCTTGCCCTCGTGATATTCTAGTATCATGTATTAGTATTTCATGTACTTCATGGCTAAGTACAGACATTCAAAAAGCCCGAGCCTGAATCAATTCAATCTTTTCAGGTTAGTCTAAACTGTGTAGATTGAACTAAGAAGCAAGTGAATAGACGCTCACTTTTGATTCTGGAAGTGCAGCCGCATGCCTTCACTGGCTCAGTCTAAAAGCTAGGGGGCACTAGAGCAAGCCCTTCCTTCCCTTCAGCAGTGGCAGGAAGGCTGGAGAGCAGCTGGGAGAGAAGCCCTCTAGGCTTTTCCCCCCTCCCTGCTTGAGCGGAGGTTGAGGAGGGGTGTGGCCAGGCCCGGGCAGGCCTTTGAGTACAATTGGGTAGGGGTTTATACCCCCACCCTGGCCTGCATGGACCCCAGCCAGGGTGTGCCTTAATCCCCCAATCCCCTCTCCTGCAGCACTGGACCCCAGCTGGGATCTTCCTGGTAGGGGTGCAGCCCTTCCCAGACTTTTCCTCTCTGCTCAAGGGGCGAGGTCTTGGCCAGATGCTGGCCCCAGGCCAGGCCCCTGAGGCAAAGTGGGGGGAAAGGGGGTTTAATCCCCTCTCCCTCCCCTCTCTCACCACCATAGTATCCCAGCAGCAGTCAGCCTGACAGGGGCACAGCAGTCCCTGACAGGCTTGCCCTTGCCATCTGAGTGGCGAACAGGGGGGAAAAGCCTGGAAGGAGCTGCTGCGCCTCTGCCAAGCAGACCTTAGCTGGGGTCCCATGCCAGTGGGAAAGGAGAGGGAGGAGCAATTAATCCCCTCTCTCTTCCCCCACTTAGATGCAGGGTGCCAGCCTGGGGTCTGGCCATGCCCTCTGCCCCTGAGCGGGGAAAAGACTAGAAGGGGCTGAAGTCCAAGGCAGGATTTCCCACCCGCACCTCCTTCTCAGCCAGCCAGAGCAGTGATAGTGCTTCGGCTAAGGAGCAGAGGGGTGGGGCAAACCCTGCTCCTCTAGAGCAGACAGTACAACCCAGCCCAGGGCTGCATAGCATCCTGGGATGCTGGGGGACTGTGAGTTAACTTAAACCAGGAAGAGGTCTGGGTGAGAAGTTTCATAAACCGGTTTGACCTAAATCAGTTAAGTCTGATACTACATTCAGCCAGGTTTATCTTAAACCAGTTTCAGCCATTTTGAAAGCAGTTTATGTGCACTGAACTTCTGTTCTGTTACAGGTTTAAACTGGTTTCTGATCACTTAAACCAGTTTATGTGCAACTTCTGTCCCTAGCCCATGATTAGTACTGGGGGCTACTTGTATTTAAAAATATTGTAGTAAAGCTCATATGCCAGAATTATTTATTTATACTCTTACAGTTAAAGTCATCATAGCAAGAGTTGTATTGCACCTTATTTCTAAATGAGTCACTGGGGAACGCAGATTGTGCAGTTATAGTTATCACAGTCAGTTATAGTCAGAATCGCATGTCGTTATATCCCATTTGACTAACATGATATAGCATAGTAGAAATAGATACAACTGTACTTTTTAGCTTTTCAGCACTTAACACAGGATCAAATCTTGTTCTCATGTCTAATTTCACTACTACCATTGAAATGAATAGTACTAGTATAGGGTTTTGTCTTAATAGTGTAGTTATACATCCTGCTTGATTATTTCCTTAAAACAGTCTAGTGAAAATATTCAGTTCTTTGACTTTCTATACTAGGAGGTTTTAATAGTAAACTACAAAGCTCCTAGATATATTGGTTGCTGTTTTATTGCATCATTTCTTACGTAAAGATGCTCCCAATATCTCATTTTTTAAAGTTAGAGACGTAGGGTGCTGGCTTTTTTTTTTTTTTTGTAGAAGATTCATGTTAGTCTAGTGGTCAGGGTCCCTGGCATCAGAAAATCTGGATAGGATGGGATAATTATGATGAGGCAAGGTACTTACAATTCTTTCCTCCCAGGGGCACAGTATCCACAGTTGGCAAAGAGAGGGAGTATCACTAGGGTGTACAGATTCTGTTTTGCTAATGATACATTTAGGTAGTACAGTCTGCAGTTATTCTCCTTCACAAATGGAAACTTACCATCACTACCAAAGAGTTGGGTGGTATAAATGCCATTGCATACCCTAACCATTTTTAATTAAAGCCAGGGTGGAACTCCTGCCATAGATCAAGTGAGGTATTGCTGGTTATATTTGCTTCACTTCACTTACCTATGTGGTAACCTTCCTAGCCCCAGCAGCAGTATCCACAAGCATGTTGTGCTGGTCCAGGCAGATTGCCTTCTAAACTGGTAGCAGTGGACACATCTAAATTTACTGCAGTTGATTAATTAGCTCCACGATAAAGCATCACCATATACCAGGGGTAGGCAACCCCCGGCACGGGTGCCAGAGCGTGGCACATGAAGGCTTTCTGCGTGGCACATGCAACTTGGGGCAGATGGCAGGGAAAGGGCCAGGGCCGTGTTGCCAAAACAAGGATTGGGCCCCTCATAGCTCTCCTACCATCCGGCCCTGGCACGCCAACATCTTCCAAGTCAAGGTTTTGGGTGTTTTTGGCACTCTACTCAAAAATGTTGCTGACCCCTGCCATTTACACATGTACCAGTATCAGGGTGCAGTAGATTTATTAACTGCATCATTAGGTAGCACTCTCGGGAACAGTACTATTTTACAGCACAGTTACTTAATGCACCAAGGTGCATATGTAGTTGGTAACCAGGGCTGGCTGGTACACAGGGGTGAAAAAATGAAGGGGCTGCCTGCTGTCCAGCCCTGCATTTTAGCACCCTCATGCTCTAACCAGTCCCTCTGCCACCCAACACCGGACCCCTCAGCCAGCCTGGGGCTGCTCTGCCCCAGTTCAAACTGCTGTAGTTTCGGGTGCAGCATCTGCACGTGTACCCTAGACCACAGCAGTTTGAGCATCTACATGTGCCATTAAGGCACCGTGACAAACTCTGGTGCAAACTCCATCGGAGTTTATCACATTGCTTTAATGGTACATATAGATGCACCCAGTGTATAGCTACTTGAGCAGGTTGACTGGCATAGGTTAATTGGCACTGTCAGTGGTGCTAATTATTCTCTCCCAAATACCATGAAGTTGTTATATGGTTTAGGAGGCAACCTGCCCAAAGATCTAAATTTATACTAGGGTTACTACTGCCAGAGATGGTTAGTTTACCAGCCATCTTATGCATTTATTGGAGGCTGGAAAACTCTGAATCATTGTTGTGTTTTTGGTTTTGTTGGTCTCTTCCAACTTTATCCAATGGAATCCTGCAACAAAGTTGTTTTTTTCAGTTTCTGTTTGTCCTGTTTGTTTTATTTCTTCTGGTGTCATCTGAATCTTAGCTGATGCTTCTTTTAAGTTTGTTCCTTTAAAGGACAAACTGCTGAGGCCAAAATATTATATACAGCACATAAAGTTACCAATTTTCTTTTTGTAGTCGTAGAATTTAGTTCCAATAATGAGATTACTGGAGGTTTTCATCCATAATGACTTCATAAAGGAAATGAAATCTTATCAGAATTTTATTGCTATATTGACTATTTCTGCATTAAGGCTTTTAATTTTAAAAAATTATATTAAGAACTGACCTGTCCAAAGAGGGCCTTCCGGTGTTTCCATTAAAATCTTCTATTTACAAGGGTTTATGACTGAACTGTTAACATTTGGTATAGACTGAAACAGTCAAACTTGTTGCTCACATTGAAACTAAAAAAAATCATTCCTAAATTCTATTCTAAGGGTTTGTCAGTTTGAGGCCTTTTATAGTGATAAAGTAAAAAGAGATCATCGCCATTGTTTCATTGCTTAACACAGGGGTTTTCAACCTTTTTAAGGAGTTGTACCCTTTCTGGTGGTGGCGTCTGCACACAGGGGGCCAGTGGGCTTGCGCAGGGTGGTGGATGGTGGTGGTGGCTGCTTGCAAGCTTCCCCACCCCCCCAACCCCCGGGTCTGGCTGGCTGGGCAGCACCTGTGCAACCTGCAGAGGGGAGCGGCTGCCTTTGCCCACTCCCCCCCGCTCCCCGCAGTGGCATGGGGTGGTAGCACCTTTCCAAGTATCCCCAGAGGTATGCGTACCCCTGATTGACAACCCCTGACTTAACAGTTTAAAAGTAGACAATCCTAAAAATGATAATCACCTTTTTCCACTGTTACCTGAATTTTAATTTAGATCTTCATATGGACCATGAAATAATCCATCCAGCCACTTAGACCCTAAAAAAATTATTTCCTGTGTATAAATAAAAAATTGTTTAAAGAAAAAAGTCTGTAATTAGATACTTACACTGCATAGTACTTCAATTATGTGGCAAATGCTCAACCATTTAAATGACAAATTTGCAGTTTTGATTTTTTTTCTATTTATTATAAAACAGCAGGAAATCACTCAGGAAGCATTAATGTTCAAAACTGAATATAAACTTGCGTCCAAGCAATATTTCTGATAACACAAAAGTCTAGTTTGACTCTGTGCTATCGTGCAGTTCCACCTACATTATTACTTTGACTTCAGACAGAATTTTATAGCCTTACCTGAGAACTTTTGCTTTGATAGACTTAAAGCAGCAAAAAGTTTGCAAATTATTGTTTTGTTCTTGTACTTAACTACTGATGAGTTGGTAGTCTTTTACCAAAGTGTTGAGATACTGTGGCAGGATTTGGGGTACAGGTAAATTCTAAAAGCAGGGCACATTTCATAAATCTCCTGCTTTACTTTTACATCATTATCTGTAAATAGGTTTATCCTGACTGATTTCTCCTTCAAACAATTACTTAAGATAAGTATACAAATACATCTAGTCTTTGATCACAATGCA